GCTGAACAAACTGGCCCAGCAATTTATAGCAGAGACGGGTCACCTCTCTAGGGATAACATCTAGACCTCAGTTGTATTTCCACTCCAGTCCCAGAAAAGAAGCAAAACCAGGTGGGCGATGCTAGGACCAGCTGCAATGACTAATGACCCCTGCCCTGGTGCTGACCAATCAGTGGAGATCATGACCCTGAAAGGGCACACCTGGAAAGCTAATTATTATTTTATTGAAATTCTCCCCTAAGTTCCCAACCTTTAAAACCCTCAAAACAAAGGACCCAGCAAGCGCTCTCTCTCCTGGGAGCATACCTTTGTCTTTCCCTCCTCATTCCCATCCCCCCACAGGCATGCACCTCCTAAATTCTAAGGGACCCCAAAGCTTGCAAACCAGGGCAGCAATGGTGACTGGCAGCTCCTCCCGGACTAACCCTCTGAACCTGTCTTTGACTTTCCCGTGAGCTCTAGCAGCCCCGCCTCAGCTCATTTCTGTCACTGTGACTTTTATTTTTCAGTGAGCCAAAGCAACCCAGCCCAGGCCTCTCCTGTTGCCTCTTCTACCCTAAGCCCTTTCTTGTTTCACTGTCCCCAGCTTTAATAAAGATACCCTCATAGTCACCTGGACTTGTCTTGTGAAATCTTTCCTGCACGAAGTCAAGAAACCACATACTACCAGCTGACCCTAGGCAGGCCTTTTGATTTTTGCTGAAAGAGGTTGAAGGAGTCAATATCTTGACATCCACTCAACCCCGAAGGATTACCACACATGGACATAATCATCCCATTGCCCGAACCAGCCACAAGATAGAAATGGCCATGAGAGCCAACCTCAACTATGATATGATGGGAGCTGTCTGCTAAGGAGCCTTCCAGCAAAGAAGTCTTCAGTCGTTGCATGGGGACAGGGAGAGCGTGACTTTCTGCTCTTCTTATGAATGCCGCCATGTCTAGATGTGATGTGATTCCTGGCTCCTGGCAGCCAGTTGTGTCACCGAGGGGGCTTGTCTGAGGGCATTGCTGACAATTATTGAGTGCTGTGTGCTCAGTATGAAATTTTTAAAGATTTTTCTTACCTTAGTTCAGTCATCAATTCAAATGGAGACTGAAGCCAGGAAATAAACAGAAGGCTGAGGCTCAGAAGGGCAACAATAGAAAAATTAGAAAAGATCACCAAAAGCAAAGATGTGTCATTAGAGACCAAGGCTTAAATCACCTACACCCTCATATTCCCAATTACTATATACAGATGTGAAAATTGGATAGTGAAGAAGGCTGATAGGAAAAATGGATTCATGTGAAATACGGTGTTGGAGAGAGCTCCATGGGATACCCTGAACCACCAGAAAGATGAACAAGTGAGCCTACAGCAAATTAAGCCTGAAGCATTGCTGGAAGTAAAAATGACAAAACTGAAGCTGCTTCAGGCACATTACGAGAAGGCAGGTACTTTGGAAAAGACAATAATGCTGGGAAAAGCAGAAGGCAGCAGGAACAGAGGAATCCCAAGCATGAGCTGGTTGAGCTCCAGGAAAGAAGCCAGTGGTGCGAATCTGCAGGGGCTGAGCAGGGCTGCTGAGAACAGGACACTGTGGACATCACTCATTCATGGGGTCACCAGGAGTCAAAACTGACTCAAGGGCACATAACATAACCGTGCACCAGGTAGACTCTGTGCTGAATATATGACATCAGTTGAATGCTTTCTAGATCTTTCTGTGTCTTGGGTCCTGGAAACATAATAGAATTAGGCTTTTGCCCACCCTCAAGGAGACCCCAGCTGGGGAGGGAAGTGGGGTCAGATGATTGGCAGCACAGCATGGGGAATAATAGCAGAGGTCCAGGGGGCTGGAGGAGCATCCTCCCTCCCTGCTCACCTGTCTCTTCATCTCATCATTATATGATACTCTTTCTCCTCACAGGCCCTGTGCCAGCTTTCCCTCACAGTGACAGCGGCACATGTGGACCCAGCACCTTCCATCTGTTAGTTCATTTTGTCCTCACAGAATCCTCATGAAAAAAGTTTCCTCCTCTTTCCAGTCAGGGAAACCAGGACCAGGGCAATGACAGTGGCTACAGGGGCTATTTTATTTTTTTAAATATGTTTTGTTGATTTCTAGAGAGAAAGGAAGGGAGAGGGATAGTGAGATAGATATATCGATGAGAGAGAGGAACATCATTGACCGGCTGCCTCCTGCACACCCCCTAATGGGGATCGAGCCCGCAACCCAGGCATGTGCCATGACCAGGAATTGAACCAGCAATCTTTTGGTTCCTGGGTTGACACGCAACCACTGAGCATACCAGTCAGGCTTTTTAGATTCTGCATTTAGCTTGTCAGCATGAGCAGGCCATAACAAAGTCTTAACTTGTTCTAAAGTTATCACTTGTGCCCCAGTTGTTACAGAGGATATATGAAATCTTATGCTAATCAACAAAATAATATTGTTGAATAAATAACATATCATTAACAATGTTTCTCTCCAAATCAGGGAACAGGCTGTATGCTTTAAAACAAAGGCCCAGTTTGTCACGCCTGCCATAAATTGCTAACAACCTTTTGAGCATATTACAGGAACTTGCTTTGGAGAAGGCGGCTGACTCTGCAACCGGACGTTCTGGCTCTGGGAGACCTGCTGATTCTCAACCATAAAAACTGGACCTCCGCTTGATCTATTTATTGCAAGATAATCATCAGAATGGACCGTGCTGACTTACAAGTAAACGTTCAACTCCTCCTCCCCGATTTCTTTATTCTGCTTTTCCTCTCCTTCCTTATAAGAACCCTTGCCTGCACTGAGATGTTAAGATGGGCTTTGTGACGAAAGTCCCCCTTCTTCTCAGGTGCTCTGCACTTTAATAAACCACTTTCTTTCTCAAGAGCGCCTGTCTCAGGAGTTTGGCTTTCATTGGGGCAAGCAGCCACTTTGTTTAATTACACAATCATTTATGCATCCAGTCATCTCCCTTTCCCAGGGCTCTCAGTGCAACAGTTGGCCTCCTCCCTGCTCCACAGAACCTTCCATATGGTGCTGAGGCCTCTCCCTCACTCTCCCTCTCCTGCCTTCCCTTCTGAGTCAGATCAGCCACTTCCTCCCGGAGAGGACACCCCCCCTCACCCATCCACTGCCCGAATGAAAGGCCTCACACATGGTACCTTGTTTATTTTTACAGTAACTTTGTAGGCACTGCTGCACCCATTTCACAGAGGAGAAAAACAAATCCCACTGTGCATAAGAGACCAGAACAGGACTGCACAGGAGGGAAAGGTGGATCCAAGAACTGACCCCAGCTCTGTCTGATCTCAAAGCCAGCTGAGAGGTGGGAAGGATGGATTAGGGGTGGGGAGGATGGATTGGGCCAGGAGGGCAGTTTCCACCTGAGTACAAAGAGCAGAGGTGAGGAAAGCAGAGCTTATTTGGGAAATGGTACTTTATGGGGTGTGTACAAAGAAGCTGGGACAGTTAGGCCTGAAGGGGCCACACCCAGGAAGGGCTGTGGTGAGTTTAAAGGAGGTGCAACAATCAGATCTGCCAGCAGCACGGCAGGGGATAAGAGGGTAGTTGAAATGAGGAGAGGCTAGGGCAGGGAGGCCAGTGGGGAGGCCATGACCTCATCCATCAGGGTGTGTCCTTGGACTGAGAAGAGAGCCATGGGAAGCCAGAAAGATGAGGAGACAAGGATTCATGGGAACTTGGAGACTGGCTGGGTGCAGCGAACGGGTCGAGGAGGACCTGAGGAGGGGGTCTCAGTAGTGCAGGAGCAAGTGCGTCCATGGTGGTGAAAGGAGAGCTCTGGTCAGGAGGTGACTGGATATGTGGGTGTGGCCTATAGCAGTGGGGCCCCCAGCACAGAGGGCTGGGCCATCTGGGCTTGCATTTAGGTGCTGCCATTAAATGAGAGGAATTAGGTTAGGCTGTTAATGAAGGCCCACTTGATCATGGAGCCAATGAGTGTCAAGGGAGGCAGTCCTGGGTTGGGATACAGGCTTCACGGTTACAATGGCCCAGCGACTCTACTGTCCTTGCTACATGGAAACCCCACCAGGTCTGCTCCGTCAGGGCAAGGGATGCCGAGATGAGGAGTGTACCACCTTCCTTTGGGAGACCATTTTGTGAGCTGCACGGGACACTGCTGCTCATTCTCTTCCCAAAACATAGTGGCATGGTGGTTTCTGTGCATGCTGGCTGCTCTTTGTCCTATTTAGTCAGAGTTTTGGATCCTAAGGAAGGAGAGGAAGTGACGTTGGGGACATCTGGTCTCCACCAGAGGAACCTTGGGGTGGCTTGTGATCTTGGGCAGCTATCTCATTTCTCTCAGAATCTGTTCCCATGCCTGTGACCTGCCCCTCAGGGCTCTCGGATGTCTGTGTGAGTGCTCTGTGATGGCAGATGGGGGCTCTAGGGGCCTGAGTTGGGGTTGGTGGGGAAGGGCCGGCAGAGGACTAACCCTGAGGGACATCAGCAATCCAACAGGCAGAGAGTGAGGGTGTGGGGAGGTAAAGTGGGGCAGCAGATGAGGAGTTGCCCACAAAGCAGGGAGTTAACAGGGAAGTGTCCAGACTAGAGGTCAGTGAGAGGACTGGCTGAGTAGAGGTGCTGGTGACCCTGGGAAGATCAGCCTTACAGGAGAGTGGGTGGAAGCCAGAGTGGCAGGGAGAAAGGAATAGCTGGCAGAGGGAAAGATGCTGGGGAGAGAAGGCTGAGCTGGCAATCGGTAACATGCAGATGTGTGGGCATGGCTGCCATAAGGTCCTACAAGGAAGACACCTATGGGGGTCCTGGACTGGCAGTTGTGGGAAGACACCATGGCCGCCAGCCCTGGCCGCTGGCTGGTCCCTCGGAGGTGGAAGGGAGGCTTTGGTGGCCAGAGAAGGGAGATGTAGTGCAGGAGGCTCAAGGGCAGCAAAACAGAGCTTCTTCCCAAACCCACGTAACCAGAAGCAGTCACCAGGGCCTGGGCCACTTCCAGGCAGGGCTCATGTAATCCTGGCAATGATCACACACCTCTTAAGAAATTATACTGAGCTTTATTAAATAAACCAAGTAGAAATAAACCTGTTTACATCCAAGTTGTCAGTTTGAGCTCAAGTAATATGCAAGGCACAATTCTTCCTGTCTTCAGCTTTACAAAATCACAGAACAACCCCAAAGGACCGAAGTGGATTCACACTGCATCTCAGAGTCAAACCAGACCCCACACACAGCGCCCACGTGAGACTGGCCCTGGGGTGTGTCTCTAGGTCCACCTGGTGCAGGGCAGAGGGAGTGAGGAGTGGGAAAGAGGGAGGACTTCCCCCATTGTCTTCTCCCAGCCCCTCACTGGTCTGGCTGGGCTGCACCTGCTGGGGAGCTGCCTGGAGACCTGCTGGTAGGACAGAGGCTCGGATCTGCTGAGGTGTGACTGTAGCGGCTCAGATCTGCTGAGGTGTGACTGTCATACAAAAGGAGGGACAAATAACACTGGGTCTTTGTGCGTGGGAATATGGAGGCTTCTCCAAAAGAACACAAAGATTCCTGACTCCAAGGACATTTCTTCACGATGATTCTAAGGTTCCTGTGCTGACAGAGAGCTTGGATGTCCCCAGGGGGCGAGGCTGAATCCAGATGTTTCCACAGGTCAGGAAACAAAGGAACACAAAAGCCAGCAGTCTACTCACAGTGGCCCAAAGAGGGGCCAAAAGCAGCCTGGCTGGTACTCCCTGCTGTGTCTCAGCACTTCAGTGAGGCTGAGCGGGCTCAGGGTCCCACTCGCTGCGGCCCTGAGGCTTCTTGTGCAGTAAACGGGGAGGGCATGGGCACCTGTCATTCACTTCCCTCATTTCCTAGCAGGAGCTGGATCAGGGGAAAAGCAATTTCCACAGGGAAAAAAGCCCCCAAATAAAAAAGTAATTAAAAAGTCCTTTCCCTGAGACCACTGCAGTAGCATCATCTATAGACAACTTCTAAACAGTCTGGCTGCTCAAAGTCTGAGAAGGGAGTGATTGTAGAGACAAGGAAAATGAAAGCACTGTTCAGAAACCCTAGACAACCAGGCATAAAGGGATGAGTCAGAAAGTCTTCGCCTTTGCAAGACTGAAGTAAAACAAACTCCAATATATCAGCAGCAGCCAATAAGCACAGTCTAAACTAAAAATCAGAACAGAGGAGCAGTGGGACTGGGCTGGGGCTGGGCAACCATCAGGGGCTTGCTCCACGCTGGCGCTGCAGAACGGCCCCTGGCTCGATGACTAGTGGGAGGTGTAGGCAGGGCTCCACAGCCCTGAGGGAGGGCTAGCTCGGCGACCAGGAGGCAGTGCAACAGAAGACATCGGGGACGAAGCAGCAAAATCTGGATGAAGAGAGAGACATGTGAGCAAGAGCACAGGGAGAGGGACGCTCCTTAGATTTCTCTGAACAAACGTCACCAGGCACCTCCTAAATGTGCCCCCAGGCACCTCTGGGCAGCAGAATGAATCCACTGGGGGCTTGCTGAGCTGGCCCTTCGAGGGAAAGCACGCAGCTGGATGTGCAGAGAGGCCTAGAGTGTGACTCTTGACCTCCCGGACCGCCAGCAGAGTTTAAGAATGGCAGAGAAGCATCTGGCCCACGGTACATGCAGGGAGGGGCTGTCCGACTGTGCGGAGAAAGGTGCATGAACAGACTCCAAGGTGAGCAGAAGGTCTGAGTGTCAGGGAGACAATGCAAAGGCCCGGGGGTGGCTCCAGCACCCCGAGAACGTGAGTGGGGAGGTGTGGTTAGAAAGGGCATGGCGGGGCGGGGCGCGGGGGAGGTATGGGTAGAAAGGGCACCCAGGGAGAGTGAGTGGGGAGAGGTGGTTAGAAAGGGTGAGTGCCTCTGTGTGCCTCTGGTTAGCCTACCCGAGTTACAAAGCTAGTGAGCTGTTGACCATCCCATGCCTTTCACAGGTATTAGTTCACAGACCTAGGAGGAGCCTCCTAGGAGACTGTGACTCTGGAGTCCAGCATGTATGTGGGAACCGGCTATCCTGGAAATGCATCTATATACAAAACTGTGTCCTGACAAAAACTTCACGGAGCCTTTGAACCTAGACATAGTCGGTAGACCAGTTCCAGGATTTCCTGTGTGGGGGAGAGAACCCTTAAATGGAATCAGGAGACAAGGGCTGCCGTGCACAGCTGTGCAGAGTGGGCACTGCACAGTTTCAGGGACACCACTTACAGAGAGAGGTGCTCCCTGGAGTTGTGCAGAGTTGCCAGGGCCTCAGTGCCACCAGAGACAATGGGATTGTTAAGGGGAATGGGCCTTGGCATTGTTGCCCACCTGGGAAATCCCTCCTCAGGACTACCCAGAATCCTTGTCTCTGAGTCGGCCAGCCCAGCCCCAGCTTAAAGTCCACTGCAGTGTCCAGCAGAAGGGAGCCAGGCCTAGGTGCACACCTGCAGAGACAGCGCTCCTTGCCACCGGCCCCTCCACCCTGCCCAGCTCTGTCTGCGAAAGCACTCCTGGCCCAGGACCCAGGATCAGTGTTGGAGCCCACGGTTCTCTCCCACGAGCTCCCAGATCTGCCTGCCTTTGTGCCCAGCACCACGACTGCTGAGACACAGGGTCTAGGCCTCAGCTGCCACTTCTCCCCAGGACTCCTCTTCAGCCCAGTTCTGACTGCCTGGGCTTTCAGGGGGCTACTCACAGTGGGAGCTGTGCTGAGGGCTGGCTCGGTGGGACAGAGCTGGTGGGGCGGTGAGCTCCTGGGGGGCATAGACCGTGTGGTAAGCTGCAAGACCAAATACATGGCTGGTTAGAGCAGGATGGGCATGGGGGAGCAATCCAAGGGACACACGTGGCCTCCCTCACCTATGATCATGACCGCGGTCCCAGCCAGCAGGGCAAAAAGTGTGAAGAGCATGACTTGGTAGGAATCCAGGAAGTGCTGGAAGAGGCCGGCTCCATCTGTGGGCAGTGAAGAGACAGCTTAGCACACTACCCTGGAACCCCTGAAGGTCCGTGTGCATGGCCAGAGGGTGAGGGCCTGCTTGAGGCCAGAAGCAGTGTCTGGTCCGTGGGCTGTCTCCCTGTGCTGTCCCCTTCTACTTGGGCTGCCTGACCCGCCCTGTTCCTCCAGACAGTCTGCTTCCTTGAAATGTC